CATTCATGTGTGGTGAATTAGACAGCTAGTTAGAGAGCAATAAATTATTTTTGTCTATTCATTCCCAACTTTTTTTCCCTTTGACCCACAATGAGTGTTTTTCATTCCCTAGCTTAGACTGAAGGAAAACCTCCTTTTTCTTGTCTGTTTATAACAACCAATATGCATTTTCCCTACACGGCCATTCACCTTAGAAGTACTGAAGGATTTCTCTCCTTCTCTGTGACACACACACAAACCTTCCCTATATTTTGTGCCTTGTAATTTTAGGCTTTTAAAAAGCGACCATTCCTCCAGACTTCCAGACTGTGCAAATCTCCTGAAGTATGTCTATCACCATACAAATCTGTGGTTGAGAGGAGTGTTTGATTGAGCTTTAAGTGTAGTGAAGCGTCCCTAATGTACAGAGCAGACAGACAGGCAACGAAGAGAACATGTGGTCTATAAATGTAGACGTCACATTCAGGCATGGTGGTCTCAGCTATCTGCCTATGCTGCCCAAGCCTTTTTCTCCATCCATCGCTCTCTTCCTCTTTTATTACACTGCAAAACATCACTTTCTTAATCAGTATTTTGGTTTGGTTTTGTAAAATAATCACATAAAACAAGATTATTTTTTTTGTTGAGAAGATAATGTACAAGATAATGTGTAATTTTTTTAAATTTTCATTTTAAGCAGGAACCACATGCAATTTAGTTAGATTCATAATTAAAACAATGAAAAAAACATTTATTTTAAACTAAAATTTGTTAATTTAAATATATATATATATATATATATACAGTATATATATATGAGAGCTATTACACAAGAGTAGACGTGAGATATGTCTGTATAACGGCACGGCTGCAAGTGCTGTAGGTAATCAGTTGTCATTAGGATTGTTATCAGGAGTCCCATGAAGTGCTCTTACACTGTGGCCTGTGGTACCGATGGGTCTCTCAACAGCAGTGGAACATGCAAGGTAAGACAGACCTTAAAAACAACCCAACCACTGGGTCAAAACAACCCAACCACTGGGTCAAAACAACCCAAGAGCTGGATTTGTCCCTTTTTAACTCAGCGCTGGGTTATATTTAACCCAGCATTTTGGGTTAAGTCCCCCCCCTCCTTTTCTACTGTAAGTTTTTAATTTGTTGAGATCTCTGTTTCTTATTGGTTTGAATGGTCACCATTTAATTTTATTTTCAGTGCCACTAATCTCTGTCTTTGTTGTACTCATTGTTGTCATTAGGATTGTTATCAGGAGTCCCATGAAGTGCTCTTACACTGTAGCCTGTGGTACCGATGGGTCTCTCAACAGCAGTGGAACATGCAAGGTAAGACAGACCTTAAAAACAACCCAACCACTGGGTCAAAACAACCCAACCACTGGGTCAAAACAACCCAAGAGCTGGATTTGTCCCTTTTTAACTCAGCGCTGGGTTATATTTAACCCAGCATTTTGGGTTAAGTCCCCCCCCTCCTTTTCTACTGTAAGTTTTTAATTTGTTGAGATCTCTGTTTCTTATTGGTTTGAATGGTCACCATTTAATTTTATTTTCAGTGCCACTAATCTCTGTCTTTGTTGTACTCATTGTTGTCATTAGGATTGTTATCAGGAGTCCCATGAAGTGCTCTTACACTGTAGCCTGTGGTACCGATGGGTCTCTCAACAGCAGTGGAACATGCAAGGTAAGACAGACCTTAAAAACAACCCAACCACTGGGTCAAAACAACCCAACCACTGGGTCAAAACAACCCAAGAGCTGGATTTGTCCCTTTTTAACTCAGCGCTGGGTTATATTTAACCCAGCATTTTGGGTTAAGTCCCCCCCCTCCTTTTCTACTGTAAGTTTTTAATTTGTTGAGATCTCTGTTTCTTATTGGTTTGAATGGTCACCATTTAATTTTATTTTCAGTGCCACTAATCTCTGTCTTTGTTGTACTCATTGTTGTCATTAGGATTGTTATCAGGAGTCCCATGAAGTGCTCTTACACTGTAGCCTGTGGTACCGATGGGTCTCTCAACAGCAGTGGAACATGCAAGGTAAGACAGACCTTAAAAACAACCCAACCACTGGGTCAAAACAACCCAACCACTGGGTCAAAACAACCCAAGAGCTGGATTTGTCCCTTTTTAACTCAGCGCTGGGTTATATTTAACCCAGCATTTTGGGTTAAGTCCCCCCCCTCCTTTTCTACTGTAAGTTTTTAATTTGTTGAGATCTCTGTTTCTTATTGGTTTGAATGGTCACCATTTAATTTTATTTTCAGTGCCACTAATCTCTGTCTTTGTTGTACTCATTGTTGTCATTAGGATTGTTATCAGGAGTCCCATGAAGTGCTCTTACACTGTAGCCTGTGGTACCGATGGGTCTCTCAACAGCAGTGGAACATGCAAGGTAAGACAGACCTTAAAAACAACCCAACCACTGGGTCAAAACAACCCAACCACTGGGTCAAAACAACCCAAGAGCTGGATTTGTCCCTTTTTAACTCAGCGCTGGGTTATATTTAACCCAGCATTTTGGGTTAAGTCCCCCCCCTCCTTTTCTACTGTAAGTTTTTAATTTGTTGAGATCTCTGTTTCTTATTGGTTTGAATGGTCACCATTTAATTTTATTTTCAGTGCCACTAATCTCTGTCTTTGTTGTACTCATTGTTGTCATTAGGATTGTTATCAGGAGTCCCATGAAGTGCTCTTACACTGTAGCCTGTGGTACCGATGGGTCTCTCAACAGCAGTGGAACATGCAAGGTAAGACAGACCTTAAAAACAACCCAACCACTGGGTCAAAACAACCCAACCACTGGGTCAAAACAACCCAAGAGCTGGATTTGTCCCTTTTTAACTCAGCGCTGGGTTATATTTAACCCAGCATTTTGGGTTAAGTCCCCCCCCTCCTTTTCTACTGTAAGTTTTTAATTTGTTGAGATCTCTGTTTCTTATTGGTTTGAATGGTCACCATTTAATTTTATTTTCAGTGCCACTAATCTCTGTCTTTGTTGTACTCATTGTTGTCATTAGGATTGTTATCAGGAGTCCCATGAAGTGCTCTTACACTGTAGCCTGTGGTACCGATGGGTCTCTCAACAGCAGTGGAACATGCAAGGTAAGACAGACCTTAAAAACAACCCAACCACTGGGTCAAAACAACCCAACCACTGGGTCAAAACAACCCAAGAGCTGGATTTGTCCCTTTTTAACTCAGCGCTGGGTTATATTTAACCCAGCATTTTGGGTTAAGTCCCCCCCCTCCTTTTCTACTGTAAGTTTTTAATTTGTTGAGATCTCTGTTTCTTATTGGTTTGAATGGTCACCATTTAATTTTATTTTCAGTGCCACTAATCTCTGTCTTTGTTGTACTCATTGTTGTCATTAGGATTGTTATCAGGAGTCCCATGAAGTGCTCTTACACTGTAGCCTGTGGTACCGATGGGTCTCTCAACAGCAGTGGAACATGCAAGGTAAGACAGACCTTAAAAACAACCCAACCACTGGGTCAAAACAACCCAACCACTGGGTCAAAACAACCCAAGAGCTGGATTTGTCCCTTTTTAACTCAGCGCTGGGTTATATTTAACCCAGCATTTTGGGTTAAGTCCCCCCCCTCCTTTTCTACTGTAAGTTTTTAATTTGTTGAGATCTCTGTTTCTTATTGGTTTGAATGGTCACCATTTAATTTTATTTTCAGTGCCACTAATCTCTGTCTTTGTTGTACTCATTGTTGTCATTAGGATTGTTATCAGGAGTCCCATGAAGTGCTCTTACACTGTAGCCTGTGGTACCGATGGGTCTCTCAACAGCAGTGGAACATGCAAGGTAAGACAGACCTTAAAAACAACCCAACCACTGGGTCAAAACAACCCAACCACTGGGTCAAAACAACCCAAGAGCTGGATTTGTCCCTTTTTAACTCAGCGCTGGGTTATATTTAACCCAGCATTTTGGGTTAAGTCCCCCCCCTCCTTTTCTACTGTAAGTTTTTAATTTGTTGAGATCTCTGTTTCTTATTGGTTTGAATGGTCACCATTTAATTTTATTTTCAGTGCCACTAATCTCTGTCTTTGTTGTACTCATTGTTGTCATTAGGATTGTTATCAGGAGTCCCATGAAGTGCTCTTACACTGTAGCCTGTGGTACCGATGGGTCTCTCAACAGCAGTGGAACATGCAAGGTAAGACAGACCTTAAAAACAACCCAACCACTGGGTCAAAACATATATATATATATATATATATATATATATACAGTATATATATATGAGAGCTATTACACAAGAGTAGACGTGAGATATGTCTGTATAACGGCACGGCTGCAAGTGCTGTAGGTAATCAGTTGTCATTAGGATTGTTATCAGGAGTCCCATGAAGTGCTCTTACACTGTGGCCTGTGGTACCGATGGGTCTCTCAACAGCAGTGGAACATGCAAGGTAAGACAGACCTTAAAAACAACCCAACCACTGGGTCAAAACAACCCAACCACTGGGTCAAAACAACCCAAGAGCTGGATTTGTCCCTTTTTAACTCAGCGCTGGGTTATATTTAACCCAGCATTTTGGGTTAAGTCCCCCCCTCCTTTTCTACTGTAAGTTTTTAATTTGTTGAGATCTCTGTTTCTTATTGGTTTGAATGGTCACCATTTAATTTTATTTTCAGTGCCACTAATCTCTGTCTTTGTTGTACTCATTGTTGTCATTAGGATTGTTATCAGGAGTCCCATGAAGTGCTCTTACACTGTAGCCTGTGGTACCGATGGGTCTCTCAACAGCAGTGGAACATGCAAGGTAAGACAGACTTACTGCACAGCGGGAAACACAAGAGAGGATGATCTGGCATAGACAAAGTGTGTGTGGAGGGTGAATGGACCGATGTGATGAGGAGGGGTACGGTGGGGGCTTCTCTGTGGGAAACGGCAACTTCCTCCCTGTCTGTCTGCGAGCTGAGACCAGTAGACAGCAGCTTGGCTGAGTCTGTGGCACTGTGGCTCTGCTCCACCACACAGCAGCGGCAGCCCATGAGCTTGGCACCAGCCGGGAAAGTGTTTTCATGTAGGCGTTCCCAAGCGCTGCCACTCTCTTCCTGCTGGGATTGAAGGAAAGAAAGCGGGAGGGAGGAGGAGAGGAAGGGGGAGAGGAGGGATGCAGGAGCACACCTTACCCTCTTTACAAGGCACATCCTCAGAACACACCATTAGAAACCACCACTGCACCAGCACCACCCACACTGTCCAAGCAGCACTCAGCTCCAACACTGCCCCTGGACTGCAGGTAAGGGCAAATATTTACTGTGTGACTGACTCCTATGTGTGTGTGTGTCCATTTTGCTAAATCGTGCTGAATGTTTTGGGAAAGAGCATGGGAAGCCAAGCAGACTAGACACTTGTTCCACAAACTCAAACAAACAGTGTTAATCTGCTGATGCAAAGAACTGGATGAAAGATAAATAAAGTGACAGTAATGGTCATCCAGGGAAAATCATGTGATAGTACTGTAGCACTGTATTTTTTTCTTTTTGGGTCCAGCTGCAGAGAACAGCTGAGACTTACTTTAAGTCCAAAGTAGACAATGTTCTTGGTACGCTTTGTGAATGATCAATTCTGTAATAAATACATGGAAATGGGGCTTTTGCAGTGAGGTCACGCTGTTTGTTATTGAGAAGTCAATGTAAGATGATATATTTAGCTCTATTAAGTCATGTTTTGAAATGTCCAATTGAAAAACTCCTAGAAAATGAATGTGTGGTTTTGACAATGTGTCAAGAGGTAAATTAATCTGATATTAATCGTGAAAATAGCTACTTACATAAATAAATCATCATGAATGATAAATTGATGAGGAGAACCACAAGAAATCAGTGAGCAGCTTATGTATAGACAGGAGCCAAGCAATTAAATGAGGAAGATAGAGCCACTATAAAGTAAAGAGCTCCAGGACAAAATTCTATGTCAACTACTTCTTACTTTGTGATCATGAATGTACTTGGCTGTTTGGCATATAAATAGAATCCATGATCATAAACAACTGTCAAAATGATTTTATAATTTGTCATATAGTCTCCAAAAGCTTCAAAAAATGATTGTTCATTACATTGAACAAAACAGTCTGCCTAGCAACAAGATGAACACTCTAAAAATATTACAGTCATATAAACACTGGAGTCTTCCAAAGTCATTTTCACTGGAGTTGATAACTGAGACAAAAGATGAAACCATCTGCGTTTGTATGGAACCATAAAGAGTGAGTCTGTGGTGTGAGACCACAGCCATGAAAGTTACCCAGAAGAGTGGAATAATATACACTATTGCCATGGATGATGTGAATTTTAGGAAATATCTGACTGCTAATTGCTGCGATTAACCAATCAGAATCAAGTATTCTAGACAGGCGTGTAATCCAGAGAGCAACTAAGGCTTCTGGTGTCAGCTACTTCCGGTTATTTTAGTTTATTATGCACTTGATGCAATTTCAGTTTCTGAGTAAAAATGGATTCAAAGTAAATTCTGCACCAATTTTTTTCAGTATTTGTTCAGTAAATGTATTGCTTTAATCATAAACACACAGGATTGTAGTGCGAATAGTTTTACAGTTTACTGCACCTTTTACAGTTCACTCTTATTCACCTATAATAAATACTAATAAATCAGAAGTATATCACACACTCACAGGAAATGCTTTTTTACACATTATAAAGTGAGTCACAAAAATGGATAAATAGGTAAAGGATCAAATCCATAGCTTGAAATCCTTTTGACATGAATGTAAATTTTATGGTTTTATCTGCTCTGCACTTGTTGCTGGTCTCTCAACACTTGCATGCTTGACCTCGTCTTAACTGTCCTCCTGCTGTGGGTTTGTACCCTTCATCTGTTTGATAGAAAGCTGCAACAGTGATTTTGAGACATGAGAAGACTGCTGAGAACTGAGGAATCCTTGCGTCTGGTCCCTGTGACCAGAAGCTCTTCCAGAGAAAGATGAGTCTGCTTCCAGCTCATAGACAGGGCTTGCCTCCCCAAATGGGGAAAGGCCCTGCTGTCTGTCTGCTGCCAGGGAAAGAAAAACACCCCTCTTCCCTTGAGCGGAGGCCCCAGGGGAGGGGGAAGGGGGTTAGCCTGTGTTTACTCTCTTTCGTAGCCTGGGAAGCTCAGAAGAGGAAGGTCTGTCTCGGCCGTCGCAGCCTCGCTCCGTGGTCTGTGGGAGACGAGTGTTTGGCGAGCTGGCGCTGCTCCAGCTGTGTCTGGAGTGGATAATGAACTCCAGGTGCTCCAGTGGGTAGTTTAAGACACCTGTCACCAATATTTAGTGCCAGGAAAAGCCAGACTGCAAACAGAGTGAGACGATCTGTTTGCTTACTTTAAGGAGCCTATACCTAATTGGAGGTGCAGGTCTGATGAGGAGACATGAGATGGAGGAGAACTGGAAAACTTTGTGTGATTTGGTGATATTTTTTATGGTGGTGTTGCCTTATATCTGAATGCAGCTATGTGTGTGTAAGTAGTTGTAAGCATCACCAGTGTAAGCATAACTGGTCACTTGAATACAAACTAGAGAATCTCATACTTTCTTTCACTGTATTTCATGTGTTCCTGCCAACAAAACTGTCAAGCCCATGCAAACTGTGAGGGCACGTGCCCATAATAGCAGAAAAAGGTTCTACGGTTCTTTTAAGGACTGTTCAATAAAAGGTTCTTTAGAGAACCAAAACTGGCTCTTCTATGGCATCGCTGTGAAAACCCCTTTTTGGAACCTTTATTTTTAAAGGGGTCCTATTATGCTTTTTCACTTTTTCAACTTTAGTTAGTCTGTAATGTTGCTGTTTGAGCATAAAAAAGATCTGCAAAGTTAAAAAGCTCAAAGTCTAATTCAAAAGGAGATATTTTATTTAACAGAAAACTTTTCAAAAACTACAATGAACGACTCGTTTGGACTACAACACATATTTTCCGGGATTTGTGATATCACAAATATCAACGAATAGGATGAGACCTGCTTGAGCTGAACTAGAGAAGGCAACGAGTGTTATCACTATGTCGGAAACACGCTAGCTTTCCCAAGGCAGACAAACTTAAGAGTGGTTACAAGCATCCGGGTTTAAATCACACTCAAATTGATTTGATATTGATGCAATATTTACACTGAAGCTCGTAGGCGGCCGCTATTGTAAGGGGCATAACATTTCCCGACCAGGCACCGAGTGCTGCCAATCACAACACACACTGGCCCAGCTAACCAATCACAGCACATTTCATATTTCAGAAGGCCTTCATTTGATACAGGAACTATTCGAGCCGTTCAAGCCAGACTGGGGAGAGAGGTCTTGTAATAATGTAAAATATGTCAATAATAATGTGTTTTTCGAACAACCTAGTATGAGAGTCTGTTCTAGTACACCCCCAAAACAAAATCAAGACTTTGTAAAAGAGCATAATAGGACCCCTTTAAGAGTGTTCTATGGAATAGTCGACACTCACTGTCATCCATTCAAAGATATCCTTAGAAGATATAGCAGACTTGAACTGAAGCTCCTTTGTGCTCAGATCTGTAAAAAGCTAATTAAACCTTTCGAGAGATTATTCCGTTTCTTTTCTCCAAATATTCATTCCCTGCAGGATGAGGATCTGGTCAAGGGCCCAGTATGTGGAGAGCAGTCTGGTGCTGCTTGGTCTTGTAACGCTAGCTCTGTCTCTGGGCAATCTCTCAAGTAGAGGACAGGTTTGTAATATTTTCACAAGTTTTTTTGTAATAAATCAAAACCCACTTCTCACTAGATTTATGTTAAAAACAAGAATTTTTTTTTTTTTTGCCGTGTATATTGTAATACTCTATTTCAAAGATTAAAAATATAAGAAATGTTATAGCATGCTCTTAGCATAGATGTTGATCTCCAGTGGTAATTTTCTAAATGAACCCTTTATTTGCCAAAGGAAGAGGGTGTTGCCTCTAACAGTCTAGAGGACGGGCTGGAGGTGATCACATACTGGTGGGGAGAATGGACAAAATGGACCGCCTGCACTCGTACCTGTGGAGGAGGCGTCATGTCACAGGAAAGACACTGTCTACAGCAAAGGTCAGCGGCTGTCACACAAAACATCAGCTTCACATATTACATTTTATAACAATCTGTTACTGTTTATAATGTTGGTAAGATTTTCTGCAAGATAAATTCTATGCGAAGAATGTTTGCACAAGGTTTCCCTGACACCACCCCACCTGCAAAATACAGCAAATAGTTAGCTTGCAACCCAGTTCCACCACATAAGAAAAAAGTCATGTTTTAGTAAATCATAACTGTGATATAAAAAGGTGAAATTATGACATACTAAGTCAAAATGATAAGAAAAAATGTCAAATTTGTGACATACTAAATCAATTTTGAGATAAAAGTGTCAGAACTATTAGAACATGAGACAAGAGTCATTTTTGTGACATGCTGTACAAAGACATAATTATGTGATAAAAAGTCATAATTGTATAAAAGTCGAAATTATGACATACTAAGTCATAATGATAAGAGAAAACGCATAATGATATAAAAAGTTTAAATTATAGGATAAAAGACATTAGGACATACTAAATCATAATTATGAGTTACTAAGCAATAATTATGACAAAAATGTTACTTATGTTCTGCTTGTATCCAACTTTTTGTTTCAATTTTGACTTATTATCTCAGAATTTCAACTTTTTATGTCATAATTATGATTTATCCCAGCATGATTTTTTTGGGGCATCCATAATAAGTTAGCCTACTCAAATTCAATGTTTTTGTTCCACTTTTCGTTTTAGTTTTCTTCCTTGAACCATTTCTAATCCTTAAACTTAAATCATGTCATTTTTTTATAAAGCACTGGGAAAACCTTTGTGAGTGTAATAAATGTCCTGTTGTATTCAACTGCTACTAAACTGAAACAATTTCTTTCAAAGAAAGAAAACAACAACTGGTAAAGACAACATGACATGCACAGGCAATGCAAAGAAGTATCATCTCTGCAATGCAAAGGTCAGCTCACAGTATCCCGTCTTTCCTTTCCTCTCTCACACACATTCACAGTGCATGTCTAACAGAAATACATCCCAGATGCCTGACTTGACAGCGAGCCTCACGTTCCACTTCCACCTGAGGCTTACCATTAATTCATGCATAATTAGCTTTTTTTTTTGCCAGTTTTAATGTCTGTTGCAACCAAATAGACTGTAAAGCGAGATTCAGTTGCATGCAATTGACTTTCTTTTTGTGAATTACAGGAATGTCCTTCTACAGGAAGAAGCTTCAGAGAAGAGCAGTGCTGGTCATTCAACTCTCAGGTTTACAATGGAAAAAATTACCACTGGAAACCTCTCTATCCTGGTATTAACCGTTTTATTTAATGAAGCTGTGCTCTGAAGATATAATTTACATTAAAACAATGAACTCTGTTTATATTCCTGTAGATGACTACGTTCATATCTCCAGTAATCCATGTGACTTGCACTGCACCACCTCTGATGGTCAAAGACAGTTGATGGTACCTGCACGTGATGGGACATCTTGCAAGTACAGCAACTACAGGGGCGTGTGTGTCAATGGGAGATGTGAAGTAAGTGGCTTATATTGCTGTAAGATTTATCCTTATATTACTTTTCTCAGGCATGTGATCTTAACTTATAAGCTGATGTGTACCTTTGCAGCCCATTGGATGTGATGGTGTCCTCTTCTCCCCCAACACTCTGGATAAGTGTGGCGTGTGTCAGGGAGATGGGAGCAGCTGCAGTCGTATTACTGGGAACTTTCACCGCGGGGCTTCTAGTCTAGGTAATGCCAGTTCAGTGTTTGGTTGAATGGCATTCATATTCAATGGTTCTGTGTAAATTCATCAATTAAGTGAACTCTTTCTTCGAAGGCTATTCTTTCATAACTCAAATCCCAGAAGGATCATGGGACATCCAGATTATAGAGAGGAAGAAGTCTGCAGATATCCTGGGTGAGCAAACCTTTGAATGGCTTGCACGTTCAGCTGTGTGTAAGACTTTCAGAGCATGACGATACTTATACTTCATCTGCAATATCAAGCTTTTTCCATGACAAGGGAGACAAATCTTTATAGTGAAACCCACAATAAATGCCCTAGTAATCAGTGTTAAGTAAGTCAGAAGTAAAATATAAACATTAGATTTTTAAAAACGTGAACAAAAAAAAACTTAAATCAAAAAAAGTTGGTTGAAGTACTAAAATGGCTAAAAAATAGAAAATAATTCAAAATGTACATGCAAAACATTTTATCTACATGCTTGACATTTACCAGTGATGGTTGGTTCATGATTCAGGAGATAAACTAATCATTTATGTTTCTCATAGTTTATCTTTGGCTACATTCAAATGTTTTTTGTAATTGGTAATATTGTTATGATCAAAGATTGCATAGGTGGATGTGTTCGGGGAATTTGAATATATAACATTTGAACTCTGCTCAAATGAATGAAACGACTTGAACAAATATTAGTTTGTTTTGCTGAACGAGATCAAACGAAGGAGTCAATCAAATTGTCCAATCTTCCCATCATTATATCTCACCCTTGTTATTTTCCAGCTGTGACTGACCAAGCAGGGAACTTTTTCTTCAACGGAGCATATAAAGTGGACACCCCTCAGAACTTCCATGCAGCAGGGACCATTTTCAAATACCGGCGGCCTACTGATGTGTATGAGACGGGGATCGAGTACATCGTGGCAAAAGGGCCCATCGATCAGCCCATCAATGTTCTGGTACTGTAGCCGTGGTCCTCTCTTCGCCGCCAAGGGCTCATGGGTAATCTCACTGGCTGGCTAACCATGGCTTTGACTTAGTGCAGGCCAAAGGTCTAATGGTTCACTCTGCATAATATTCTGATGCATTGTCCCAGGAAGAATGACTCAAGTATTTCACTTAAATCTGGGTTTATCGGACGAATGTAGGATGAAAAGTGAAATATTGTATTCTGGACATTTTTCAACCTCGGTGCCCTTTTATTGCCATGATTTTGTGCACCATAAATATTAACTCTGGGAAAGAGTAGTCCAGAATGTTTGTTTCCCATCAAGTGTAAAATTAGATATTATCATAACATATTTATCTTAATTGTCTCTTAATAGACATGTCACTGTCGTTTCTCTCAAAGGTCTGGAACCAAAACGGATTTGCTACTTTCTGGTCAGTGGTGTTTTATTGGGAGGGGCATTCTCATTCTAGAGGGCATTTGATTGGATAAAATTCGGTGTAGTGCAGGATGAGTCATCAAAACTCAGATTCTAACTTGAAGTCAGAAAAGCCAGCATGCTGGTTTGTTAAGTGATGGCATAACTTAACAGTTACTGTTCCAACTCTACATTATGCAAAGCTAACAACAGCTAAATCACAATTTCAAGTCTTTAGTCAGCTCATTAGTAGCTCTGGTTGAGCATGATGCTAGAAACCTCAAGATCATGCCAATGAACCAGTGGCTATCTTTTATCAGTTGGCTCTTTTGGCAGTTTCGAATGCTAGGAGTAGGTCTTAGCCCTCCACCCTGGCATGCCAAAGTCATGATGGACGGGCTCGGGTGGGACAGCCCTGCTCGTGGGAGAAAGGAATGTGCTGCAGACTTGAGCTCTGGCTTGGTTTTTTTGTTAACGTTCTCTGAGACATTCAAAGAGCGCCGAGGGGAGACGGCCAAGCAGAGACTGGCGGGATTGCATTCCATCATATTTATAATTCATGCTGGGTTCCCTCCGCCACGTCCAAACACTGCATTACCAGCCCCTCTGCCAGAGATCATAAAGAACATCTCATGAAATGCCCTTACTCGTATCCGAAGGAGAAGAGAAAGATTCCAGGTGGGGAGAGGAGGAGAAGACCTGAATGTTAGGAAGACGGACTGTCTGAGAAACATAATTCAAGATGTTTTGTCATTTGTGGAAAAAAAGTCCCATAGATCACTCGGGTACAGACTACGCTTGTCGCATCAGATAAATCCCAGGAATTTATCACGAGGAACAAATTTTATTGACTTCTGTCTAGTTGAGGGAATGCACTGTTTTCCAGCTTTGACATTAAGGTAATGAGTGTGACCAGGAATGGTAAAAATGTTAGTGGTTTTATGACTGAAGTGTCAGTTTGTGTCTCGACATCAACAAACTTGAACGGTCTGCCTAATACACAGTGCAGGTGGCTATGCTGTGGTCTAGTCTACGATGTTCTATTTTCTTTACTGCAGGAATAACCAAAGGCTCCTTCAGAAGAACAAACTGAGCGCTGCTGACATGTACCGCTGGAAGTTGTCCTCACAGGAGCCCTGCAGTATGACCTGCTCGATAGGTAATCGAGGCATTGGAACTTAGTCTCCGTGCCCGCAAACATCCACACATAAACATTCCTCATAATCATGTTTGTTTATGTGGGGGTTTATGTGTATACGATGCTTTTTTATCAAATAGGTGTGTCGAAATCACTTGCCATGTGTGTGCGGTTTGACGGCATTGAAGTGGATGATGTTTATTGTGATGCTTTGACTCGACCAGAGCCAGTTCATGATTTCTGCATTGGCAGAGAATGCCAACCCAGGTGCGTGTGCTGCAATTGTCACAGAAATGCAGAGAAAAAGCATGGAGCCACGCAGAATATCACACAGAAATGAAAATCCTGTCATCATTTACTCATTTCATATTCCAAACCCATACGGATATGGTTCATCTTAAGAAAACAAATTAAGGTATTTCTAATGAAACCTGAGAAGTTTCTCTCCCTCCATTGAAAGTCAAGGTAACAAAAACCTATAGAAGGTCATAAAGGCACTGTAAAACTAATCCATATGAACTGAGTGGTTTAATTGGAGTGAAGAGATATGATCGCTTTATATGATGAACAGATCCAGTTCATAGTTTTATTTACATCTGACCAATGATCGACACACATACTGTACACAGAGCACATCACATACAATAAACACAGAAACACAATTGTGTGTGTGTGTGTGTGTGTGTGTGTGTGTGTGATGCGTGAGAACCAATGAGGTTTGTGTGATGTATGCACAAGCTTTCATGTTTACCATATGATACACTTTATGTATGCGTTTATACACAATGTATATGTATGGATTAATTTTAGGGTGCTTTTATGGCCTTTTTGGATCTTCTAAGTTTTGGTAACCTGGACTTTCAAAAGAGGAACAGAACCCTCTCAGGTTTTATTATAAATATTTTCATTTGTGCTTTGAAGATTAACCAAAAGTGTTATGGGTTTAGAATGACACAAATGACACAAGTACAACATATCAATCCTTGGCCACATTTTTAAAATTTGTTCCCTCATTTTATCTTGGCCATATTGTACTTATTTATTCCCTCATTTTAATTTAGCTAAATCATAGCCACAATTGAACTAAAACCAGGGAACAACTTAGTTCAGTGTGCCCATGATTAACCTAAAATAAGGGAGCAAATGATTAAGATGTGGAAAGAATTCCTAATACGTAGCCACAATTCCACAGTGCGGGGCTCGGTAGAAAAGATAAGAAAGGTAAAGTAAACCAAACAAAAAAATGAAAATTCTGTCATCATTTAGTCACCCTCATGTCATTCCAATCATTTTATTATGTCCCATGTGGTACTCGACACAAAACTCTTACTGTGATCTTTATGTGTAGATGGGAGGCAAGCAGCTGGAGTGAGTGTTCTCGGACATGTGGAGAAGGTTTCCAGTTTCGTCTTGTGCGTTGCTGGAAGATGCTGGCTCCCGGCCTAGACAGCTCTGTGTACAGTGACCTCTGTATAGAGGCACAGCTAGAGCACCCCCCAGAGCGCCGGGCCTGTAAGAGCCCCACTTGTGGCCCTCAGTGGGAGGTAGCTGAGTGGTCAGAGGTAGGTTAAGAGCTCATTCAGTTAAGCCTTCATTATAACCTCCATACACTGCAAGTAAATAAATAAAGTTTTAATCAGTGTTTTTGTCTTGTTTAGTAAAAATTCCCAAACATCATTTTTAGGTTCAATTTAAATGAGTAGCAAAACTGTGTGGTACAAAAATAGTTTTCAGAGATATATGTTGAATTAGGTCCTTACCGCAATGGCAATTTTTTTTGGCCTTATTTGAAGCATTAACAAACCATTAACATATTGTCTGAAAACAAGTCTTAATATCTTGCACAATTTTGCTTTGCAAGTTTTTACTGGAAAACAAAAAATACTGATTAAGAAAATGTTTTTAATACAGAATGCTTCATTATTTATTATTATAAAATGCTTTCCCTCCGGAGTCATCAGTGCATCAGTGGAGTGATTCTTGTGCATTTGTTAATTAGAAAACTGATATGTTTGGACCATGTCAATGTTAACAAACTAACATACTGAAGAGAACCTTGTTTTGTTTGTTGTGCAGTGTCCAGCTAAATGTGGTCGCAGGGGTCTGGTTACGCGAGAGGTCAGATGCTCAGATGAAACCCATGCATGTGATGAGGCAACTTGCCCAGCGTCTACCAAAAACTGCACCGGCCCTCCATGTGAGCGCCAGTGGACAGCGTCTGAGTGGGGACCGGTGAGTAATGCACACATTATGTCTGACAGTTTAAAAATCTTTAAATTGGGATTTAATCAAGCACAATGCAATAAAGCAACAAGAGACATTTAAAGTGATACTAATATGAAACAGCAAAGTGACAGGAAGTAATTATTTATTTTCAATAGAGTTGGTGATTTGAATTGATGAGTGACAGTAACTGTTGGTCATGCGAAACTGAGCAGAATTCAACTTAGTGTTGTTTTAGGATCCTTAATGGTCACACTTTATTTTAAGGTCCAATTATCGCTATTAACAAACCATTAACTATGACTTTTGCCTTAATAAACCCCTACTTTGCTCCATATTAGTTAGTAGTGTAGTTGTTAAGTTTAGGTATTGGGTAGGATTAGGGATGTACACCCCCCAGAGCGCCGGGCCTGTAAGAGCCCCACTTGTGGCCCTCAGTGGGAGGTAGCTGAGTGGTCAGAGGTAGGTTAAGAGCTCATTCAGTTAAGCCTTCATTATAACCTCCATACACTGCAAGTAAATAAATAAAGTTTTAATCAGTGTTTTTGTCTTGTTTAGTAAAAATTCCCAAACATCATTTTTAGGTTCAATTTAAATGAGTAGCAAAACTGTGTGGTACAAAAATAGTTTTCAGAGATATATGTTGAATTAGGTCCTTACCGCAATGGCAATTCTTTTTTTGTCTTATTTGAAGCATTAACAAACCATTAACATATTGTCTGAAAACAAGTCTTAATATCTTGCACAATTTTGCTTTGCAAGTTTTTACTGGAAAACAAAAAATACTGATTAAGAAAATGTTTTTAATACAGAATGCTTCATTATTTATTATTATAAAATGCTTTCCCTCCGGAGTCATCAGTGCATCAGTGGAGTGATTCTTGTGCATTTGTTAATTAGAAAACTGATATGTTTGGACCATGTCAATGTTAACAAACTAACATACTGAAGAGAACCTTGTTTTGTTTGTTGTGCAGTGTCCAGCTAAATGTGGTCGCAGGGGTCTGGTTACGCGAGAGGTCAGATGCTCAGATGAAACCCATGCATGTGATGAGGCAACTTGCCCAGCGTCTACCAAAAACTGCACCGGCCCTCCATGTGAGCGCCAGTGGACAGCGTCTGAGTGGGGACCGGTGAGTAATGCACACATTATGTCTGACAGTTTAAAAATCTTTAAATTGGGATTTAATCAAGCACAATGCAATAAAGCAACAAGAGACATTTAAAGTGATACTAATATGAAACAGCAAAGTGACAGGAAGTAATTATTTATTTTCAATAGAGTTGGTGATTTGAATTGATGAGTGACAGTAACTGTTGGTCATGCGAAACTGAGCAGAATTCAACTTAGTGTTGTTTTAGGATCCTTAATGGTCACACTTTATTTTAAGGTCCAATTATCGCTATTAACAAACCATTAACTATGACTTTTGCCTTAATAAACCCCTACTTTGCTCCATATTAGTTAGTAGTGTAGTTGTTAAGTTTAGGTATTGGGTAGGATTAGGGATGTAGAATATGGTCATGCAGAATATGTGCTTTATAAGTACTGATAAAGAGCCAAAATGTTATTAATAGGCATGCTAATAAGCAACAGTTAATAGTGAGAATTGGTCCCTATACTATAGTGTTACCCCCTTTATATACTATTATAGTTTTGTTAATATTTTAAATGAGATTTTATTTATTAATTTTTTCACTTTGATTTTAGCTACAGTTTAAGCAATTTTGTTGTTTGTTTTTGTAATATTTATTAGCTTTATTTTAAATGTCTATATAGTATTTCTTAACTTTTACTTATTAGTTTATTTAGTTTTTTATATGTTTTATTTCAGTTAATGTTTATTTTATGTCAAGTCAACAAAGTACAGTGGAATCTCATTGGTCCAAAATCACACTCCACATAACTTAAAGGGATAGTCCACCCAAAAATGAACATTTTGAATTACTTTTTCTGCAGAACACAAAAGAAGATTACTTAAAGAAAGCCAGTAAGTAAACAGCATTGGAGCCCACTGACTTCCATTGTATGGGAATTTCTCAAAATATCGTTTTGTGTGTGTTTTGCTGAGGAAAGAAAGTTATATGTTTGGAACTGAATTATTATGACAGAATTGTAATTAGTGGGTGAATTAACTCTTTACTATCAAATGTGATTCTTATTAGCAGTGATTGCATAACATTAAGCTAAACATTTCAGTGTAGACAGACAAATTAATATGTATTGTTGCAGCTGGTTAGGACATGATGATATAAAGCATTTTTTGTATAGTGACTGTCATAGTAAGATCAGAAGCAAAGCATTTAATGTTTCAAATGTAAAAAATGTTCTTCTTCCTTTTCTACGCAGTGTTCAGGCATCTGTGGGCATGGAAAAACAGTGCGGCATGTGTACTGCAAAACACCAGAGGGCCGTGTGGTACCTGAGTCTCAGTGCTCACCTGAGAACAAACCTCTGGCCATTCATCCCTGCGGAGACAACGAATGCCCTCCACACTGGCTGGCCCAAGACTGGGAGAGGGTGAAGATGACACTTACAGTATATGTATGGAAAATGAATAATTTGTCAATATTTCTCCAGTAATCATTGTCTTCGGCCTCCCAGTGCAACACAACATGTGGACGCGGTGTGAAGAGAAGGATCGTGCTGTGTGTAGGCATCACGGGTGGGAAGGTCCAGATCAACGAGGACGAGGAATGTGACAGCAGCAAGCGAGCAGTAGATGAGGACACCTGCTTTGAGAGGCCTTGCTTCAAGTGGTACACAACGCCATGGTCTGAGGTGAAACATTTAAACATGTATTCAGTTTATGATGCCACAAACAGACAGTATTTATGTCTGTCAGACCGCTGCCCGTGTAGGCATTTACAGTAAGCCAAGTGAGTTTGCTAGGTTTTAAGATACAACACATTTTCTTCTTGAGCCTCTCTGTCCAGTGAAGGTTCCCAACCTGTTCTTTGTCCTTGCTTGTACTCAACTGTTTCCCAGTGCACCAAGACTTGTGGTGTCGGTGTGCGAATGAGAGATGTGAAGTGTTATCAGGGAAGAGAGCTTGTTCGTGGATGCGACCCTTTGACCAAACCTGTTAACAAGCAGACCTGTGCACTCCAGCCCTGCCCCACCGAACCTCCAGGTGTGCCTTAAACAGTTCACTTGAAAAAGACAATTATTTTCAGTCATTATTAAGTCATTGCTTTCCTACTCTCAAATATATAATTATATGTAATCTCATATATACTGTACAATAAAAAGTTAAAAAGAACATAATTTATAAAAAATTGAAATATTTTGTAACCTATATACCGTTCACTACCCACTACCATGGAGTCAGTACTTAAAAAAAGAAAGAAAATAAATTAATGCTGTTATTTAGCTATGTTATATTGTTAAATTGATAAAAAGGTGATAACATAGACCTGTATTGTAACAAAAAATGAATAAAAGCTGTTTTGAATAAATGCTGTTCTTTTTAACTTTTTATTCACGAGAGATTCCTGAAAAAAAACATTTGACAGCACTCCTGTTTCCAACATTAATAATAAATCTGTATATTACAATGATTTCTGAAAAATCATGTGACATTGAAGACTGCTGAAAATTCTGATTTGCCATCACAGGAATAAATGAAATTTTAAAGTATATTATTTTTTAAATTGTAATAATTTCACAGTATTACTGTTTTTACTGTATATTTGATCAAATAAATACAGCCTTTAGAGGATAAGATAATTTTTTTAATCCCAAACTTTTGAACGGTATTGGATGTTCTATAGCTTTACTTCTTTTAGCTTTTTTTATTTTTGGTCACATGACGTGGCAATTGGTGTCATGTCATCAGTGTGCCTTTTTTAGTCCTTGTTATTGCATTCATTATATTCATGATTTTATACATGTTTGGGACAATATGAATGTGATAATTGATGGCAGAATTTTCATTTTTGGGTTAACTATTCCTTAAATATGAATTATGCACTTTGAAGCATTGCCCTCCTACTGTAATTGTACATATTAATAGTAACCAAACATTTGCTATAGCTCCAGAGAAATCATAAATAACATGAATTTGAACTCCTTTGTTGCTTCTCCAGATGAAAACTGCCAGGATCGTCCCACCACCAACTGCTCGCTGGCTCTGAAGGTGAATCTGTGCAGTCACTGGTATTACAGCAAGGCCTGTTGCCATTCTTGCCGTAATCTTCGAGCTTCCTAGCTAGTCTCCACCACTCAAGTTTTCATATGTTCATGTCATCGGCAATGTGCTTGTTCAAGGATTGCAGCAAGGGAAGTTTGAATCAGTATTTGTTTATATCTTAAGCTAGCTCCATAAAACTGCATTACTGTCAGCATTACAAAAATGATACCTGCTTCATGACAATGTCCTGTGTTCGTGGGATACAATAAGGAAATATTAAATTATTTGATTATTGCTCAGAGGATTATATAGCATGTCTTAAAAGTATTTATTATTCGTCAGGTTTTATTGGACATTTATTATCTGGCAGTGGCAGAGGTCAATACTGAGTGTTACCTCTGGCTGAAGATGGCTGATTTAGTACTGTACATCCAAACACAGGCTGAGCCTCAAGCCGCTGCTGGCTCTTACGCTTTACTGTTTACTTTATCCGGTTTAACTATTGCTAGACCTAGGCTTATGTTAATTTATTGGTCACAGCAGTAGTTTTATTGGGTTCTCTCATTCTGTATGTATCCGATTCATTAATTTTTGTATTTCAATGGACAATGGATTTAGCAGAGCTTGACATACCCAAGTCATTTTATCCTTGTCATTGAGCGAGTCCTGACACTTGAACGTGCTATAGTTTAAAATGTATCTGATTCATGTATTGTTTCACTAAGACACACTAAACCTAATGTATTGTACTACCTTACCTCAAGTACAAAAGGCAATCAAATGTAAGTCATTTGGTTTTCTTGTAGAAAAACTTGTGTACCTCTCAATATATTATAAATAATAAATATTATACACCAATGAATGCTGTGGTTTGTGTTGTTTGGTTGGATATTTCTAGCACAAGTTTTAATATAATACACATTAAGGTGTAAGTCAGTGTTATTTTAGTAATTACTGATATACAGTTTTGTTGATATTTTAGATCAAATTTGATAGTTTCTGTTTTCATCTTAATTGTAGGTAAATGTTTAGTAATTTTGTTGTGTGTTTTTGGTCATTTTAGTAGTTTTTTATTTTACATGTTGATAATTGTCACGGTGCACACACACGAGGAGACACTGGAGAATACTTTATTTCCATGAACCGAGCGGCAATTTCCATCGGCACGGTGGGAAAAAAAAACAGGAAAAAAACTCTCAAAAAGACGGGGAAAAACAAACACGAGGAAAAAGTCGCCGCTCACTTTCGGTTTTGGGTCCACTGTTCTGTCACGGTGCACACACACGAGGAACGAGGAGACGCTGGAGAATACTTTAACAAGACTTTATTTCCATGAACCAAGGGAGACAAACTCAGGAAGACGTTTACCAGCGGACAGAGAACTAGGGACTTGGAGCACTTTAAATATACACAACAGGAAGATGGGATGACAAGACACACCTGGGATCAATGGAAATTAAAATATATATATATATATATATATATATATATATATATATATATATAATAAAGTAAATATTTTTATTACACACTGTCAGAAAAGTTTGTATAAATAGAATTAATATGAAGGAATTTTCCTTATTGATTTTTGACAGGTGTTTCATTTGTATTTTTAATTATGGATTGCATTTTTTATGTTTTTGGGTTAAAAGATACAGTGCATGATAGGGTTATTATAGTTAACAAAAACTAAAACTGAAACCAAAACCATAAAAAAACATTATTTGAAATAGAATAAAATATATATAAAAAATTATTTCAGCTAATGCCAAGACAACAATTCTCATTTTGATTTAGCTTAACTTGATGTACTTAACTAAAAGTGAAATTGAAATAAAAAGAATACATTTACATTTCTTCATTTGGCAGACACTTTTATCCAAAGAAACTTACAATTGAGGAATACAACAAGCGATTTACCGTAAGATGGCAAAAAACAGGAGAAGTGCCTGTTATACAAGGTTTCAGTCGTCGTTCAAAGTAAAAGCTAGGACAGGAAGGGATAAGGATAGTAAGAGAACAGAAACATTCTCTTTTATTACAAGTTCTCTTAATAAAAAATTAGACATAACAAAAACTAAGAATGACAAATTACTAAAACTTTAAAATGAAAACGGAAAATATAAAAATGAAAACAACAGCAATAATGACTATAATAGTATCTCAATGATACTACAATTACACTGGTGCATGACTATCCTTCTAAATGAATGAATGAAGATCATGTATTGGATAGATCTAAATCAAGCATTGGGTACAGAAAGCAGGATACTGAAAGTGAATCACAGAATACTTCAGGTGAATACGAGGTGCTACACATCGGTGCTGATGCTGTGATGCGTCAGCACTTCCTGCATGGTGACAGAGCGGATGAGGTTGAGTTTGTGGAAGCTGGGCGTCTCCATTGGCAGGTCTAATTCCTCCTGCTGCAGAGTCCTGTAGCTGATCCTGCCACCTCCATTACGCAGCCCCTCCTGTGGGCTCATGTAGAGCGGCAGATACCCCGAGCAGGATGGGCAGAAAGTGTACGAGCGGGGCGGCCTGTTGTTGTATTGAGGATAACTGACCGGTCCGTTGGCCTCAAAAGGCTCTGCAGTCATTAGCAGCTGATTGGAGGACGTGTATTCAGGGAAGTGTTGGAGACTCTGCGGACTCTCAGGTGGACTCGGTTGGCGCAGTGGATTTGGAGATACCATGGCAACGTCAGCCTCCTCCTCCCCCTCCTCCGACTCGTCTCTTTTACAGCAGTAATACTAATGAGCAGAGTGAGACGTCACACTCAATATGTAAGTGAATAGAGAAGAGGGAGTTACTTATGAGACTATACTGTAGCAGAAGAGCAGATTTACCTGCAGCCTACAGTAACACAGAACTGTGACAATAGTTAGCAAGATGACGGCAGCCAGAATTCCACCTGTGATGACCACTGTGCCGGCTGTCATTCGAAATCCTCTCCATCAACAAACTAAGCAAGCCATAAAGACAAAAAACAGAGATACCATGACAATGAATATATATGCAAAAAATATTGCCAAGTATATCACAGAGACTGACATACTGTACATACAGTGAAATGTTTATATAGGACTCAGGATTAGTGGTCGACCCATATGGCTTTTTTTCACTACCATTCGAAAGTTTGGAGTCAGTAAGAGTTTATTTTAAGAAATTAATACTTTTATTTAGCAAGGATACAATTGGTCAAAGGTGAACGTCAAGACATTTATATTGTTACAAAAGATTTCTATTTCAAATAAATGCTGTTCTATTGAACTTTCTATTCAACAAAGAAACCTGAAAAAATGTAACATATTCTACAAAAATATTAAGCAGCACAGCTGTCTTCAACATTGATAACAAATATTGTATTTATATATATATATATATATATTAGTGCTGTCAAACGATTTATCGCGATTAATCGCATCCAAAATAAAAGTTTTTGTTTACGTAATATATGTGTTTATAATGTGTATATTTATTATGTATATATAAATACAATCACATGCATGTATATATTTAAGACAAATATGTTAAGTTCATATATTAAATATATTTATATATATTATCAAATATGATAATATAAAATATATATATATATATATATATATATACTGTATATATATATAATTTTTTCTTCTTCTTCTTCTTTTTTCCCACCAAATCAACATTTCATACCCATTAAAGAACAAAAGAAAAACGTTATTTAAAATTGTAATAATATTTTCACAGTATTTGTTTTTGCTGTACTTTTGATCAAATATGTGCATCTTTGGTGAACATAAGAGACTTATTTTAAAAACATGAACAATTTTACATACTTCAAACTTTTGAACAGTTGGTGTATGTGTGTCTAGCATATATAGTTACTTATGTATATACACTAATAGTATTTAAACAAAGAAAATTATAATCTCCCAAATCTCTGGTCAAATATCAGCAGTATATTGGTCTAGTACCACTCATGCTCTCTATTAAATAATAGCTAGCTATTGTTGAAATTACATGTACATCTGATGCCTATTTCATGCTCTTTGATCATGATTTCGGTAATTATGGAACTGGATTCAAGCATATGCCACAGCAGTGGAATAATAAACTGATCAATGATGCATTAAATTATTTTCCAAAAATAGCACATTTGCACAATTTCAACAGGATGTCTAAGGAATGACGGCATGTAACAGTTCATAAAGCTCAGGTTATTCAGTCATAATTATCCACAAATCAGTGTTGTTTGCTGTCACAAATAATCCTGTCTCTGTCTATGTGAAATGCTAATGAAGAAGCAACTAGACACAAGTGAATCAGAAAGGGCCTCTCAATAAGAATTTCAGATTTTGTGAGGACAGTATTTGGTCTTACCTCAGGCCAAAGACTCATTCAAGCCCACATAAGTCACCCATTTGCACAAATCACTTGGAAAGCTTTATATAACCAAATCTAAGGGTCACCATCACTTACCAAAACACAAGATGTATGATGTACTTTAACAATATTATATATATAACAATAACAATATTATAACAGACTTACGTTTAAAAAAACACTCAATACTGAGATTTAACAGATTAAATCTGGTCTGCTACAAATTATTGACAACTTTTTAGTCTTCCTATTCAATTCATGTAATTTATTTATCATTTTTACAGTATTAAATATCATCTTGTAAATGAATAGGCTAAGGAATTTTCTGATCAATACAGTTCTCTGTGACAATATTCATACACGCGACCCACAATAACAAAATAATTAATATAATAATTACTACATTTTTTATAATGGTATAAATACAGCTTAAACTGCATTACCTCAGATGAAGTTTTGTATACTCACATTATGGTATCTACAGAACATAAAGCACGTGTCCAACGCATCCGGCGAACGTAACCACAAAATCACTTCCACGAAGTCACATCTCCAGACGGAATGAAATTCCTATAATAATAAAATCAGACAAAAAGATCACTGAACGGATAGGCGATGATAAGAGCTGAACTTCATGAGCACTGAGAGGGAGCTGTGAGTGTGAGGAGAAGAGCGTCTGCTGGAGTCACGTACGTCCCACATCTCAGTTTGTGTCAACCTCTCCCCACTGATGATCACACACTCATTCAGTCATATACTGCAAGCCAAGTCCTCGATTCCACTGACATTTTGACTAAATCCGTTTTTTTTAAAGTGCGTATTTTATGTGGTTGGCTAAATAACAATTTTAGAGGTGGCATGAATTTGAATTTGAACTTTCATCTAACAGCTGCACTGGAGTATGTAAGTATTAGGCTATTTGAATGTTTAAGGTTAGTATTTTATTAGTGGACAAAATATCTTTAAGTTCTGTACTACTTTTTAAATTTTTGCTACATAATTTTATTCAGATGCCCTCTTAAGGTCTAGTTTTGACAGACACTGTAAACGGGCATCATACGTTTTTACTGTGATTCTAGCATGATTCAAACTTTCAGACACAAAGTGTGAAAAATGTAGTTAATTTTTATAAGTAAGTTGCAAGTGACCTAAAAAGATTATTGCTGCAAGATGTGCAGCTACTTCCTCGCACACACACACACACACACACAGGTTTGTTTTTATGGTTTATGGGGACTCTCCATAGGCGTAATGGTTTTTATACTGTTCAAACCGTATTTTCTATTGCCCTACACCAACCCTACCCCTAAACCTACCCCTCACAGGAAACTTTCTGCATTTTTAGATTTTCAAAAAAAAAAATTCTGAATTATTTATAAGCCTTTTGAATTACGGGGACACTGAAAATGTCCTCATAAATCACCTTCTCGTTCATATTCGTATAACTCTGTCATACCCATGTTATTATACAAATCTATGTCCTCATAAACCACATAAACATGCACACACACACACAGACACACACACACACACACACACACACACGCACACACACTCACTCACACTCACAAACATTCACTCATACTTTCAGTCCCACTTTAAACTCTTTCTTCCCATTCCTCCTGTTGGACCACTTTGAGTGCTGCTAAGAGGAGATAGCTGGAAAAGTGGAGAAAACTATATTTTAGTATATGAATTATTAAACCTTCAAATATTAAAGGAGGATGAGAATCCAGTGTATTGTACAGAAACAGTCATGATAAATTTATAAGAATTCTGAATTATTTATAAGCCTTTTGAATTACGGGGACACTGAAAATGTCCTCATAAATCACCTTCTCGTTCATATTCGTATAACTCTGTCATACCCATGTTATTATACAAATCTATGTCCTCATAAACCACATAAACATGCACACACACACACAGACACACACACACACACACACACACACACGCACACACACTCACTCACACTCACAAACATTCACTCATACTTTCAGTCCCACTTTAAACTCTTTCTTCCCATTCCTCCTGTTGGACCACTTTGAGTGCTGCTAAGAGGAGATAGCTGGAAAAGTGGAGAAAACTATATTTTAGTATATGAATTATTAAACCTTCAAATATTAAAGGAGGATGAGAATCCAGTGTATTGTACAGAAACAGTCATGATAAATTTATAAGTAAGATGCAGTGTAAGGCAATGTTATTTTTCTCTTTTCCCTCTCTTCTTTTTTCTCTGTCAAAAGCTGCTCTCAGAATTCCCATCGGAGCATCCATGCCTTTCTGTCCACTGGAATATTTGGGGTAAAAGGTTGACAAAACTGACTGCATTAATACAGGTTACACCGAGTGTGAAAGTTTGTATCGACACATGTATATAAAGTGACACACATTTTTATTTCAATTGTTTATTTGTTGTATATAACAACTTGTTGTATGGAAGACAAAATTGGATGATATTACAAATGGGACATCTATCACAGCCAGATTGATCAGACACCGTAACGGATGTTAGAATGTCAGTGCCTCAGTCTCAATGTAGTCAAAACTAAAGCTTGTTCTTCAGTACATGTTAAGCTGATTGAATTAACTGTATGAGCCAGAGGCGGGCCCAACTGCTCAGAGAAACACAGTCAGAATGTGACTCAAGTTACATGAAAAGTAGAGAAAAGCAGTTGAGATAATAAATAATAATGCTGCTGAAAAATACAATTTCTCCATGTAGGTTTATCAAGGGCTTCATATATGAAGGGAATCAGCGGTAGTTAACAAGATGTTAACAAGATCATGTAAACAAGATAATATACTCTGTATTTAAATACATTCAGAGAACCCGTCATGTGAACAATGTCTGTTGTGATTATATGAAAAATGAAAATATGACAATTTTCATTGTCATTAACGAAATGCTGACATCATCTTTGAGATGGAAAAGAGAGAAAAACTGTTGTAAGGATCTGTGCTTGATGACTGAAACATTTCATTAAATCATTTTATGCCTAGTGAGCTTCAGGACATCCTTCAGGAAGAAAGACAGCCAGAGAATTTTGAAACATGATGTGCTTTCTTGGTAAAACTGAGTGATGTCATTTGCTCTGGCAGCTGAGCAAATTCCGTGGGACAGGGATTATGCGGTCCGCTCATTTTGACTGCCCCACAAGAACACAAATGGACAGAGAAAGGTATTTTTGCGGCTTCACTATGCAAATGTGTTAGAAGACAAAGTGCTTGTATATTTGATGAGGAACAAGGCAGCCTTGTCACATTCCGGTGTGAGAGACAGAGCTTGAAGTGCAGTGAAGAAGAAGAACCGACCTCCAGCCACACTGAACGTATGTCTGCAGACAAAGTTTTTGGAGTTGAGTTCAAATCTCCCTGTAATGCCAAAATTCATGAATTAAATACTGGCCCTAATTGTAATCTTAGGGCAACTCAATTCTTTACCACTTGATACTGTGACAGTGTAATAAATGGTCAGGTGTTTACTTATACTGTATAAGGCCATGCCCACCCTGGATGGCCACTGCCCCGAGGAATTTAGTTCCATCATGAATCATCCCAAAAACATACCTGCCTGTAACCCTGAAGACATCGATTAAATAGTTCAGATAAAGTTACAATGTAATTCAAGCAGCTGAGTCTTTAGCCATTTTGAAAAAAATTCTAAAGACACATCTTTTTCGCGAACACCTGACCAATTAATACTAGCACACCTATCCTATTCTATTAAAAAAAACTATCTATGTGTACTGTGCTACTAAACCCAATAATAATGTCCCTGCCCATGTTGTTAACACTTGTGGGGTTCCTGGTCAAAAATGACCGGCCTACAAAAATGTGTAAAGTATAAATTTGCTATGCTGTAGACCAGGGTTCCTCAAATCTTACCCTGGAGGTCCAATGCGCTGCAGAGTTTAGCTCCAACCCTGATCAAACTCAGCTACCTGTGATTTTCTAATGATCCTGAAGACATTGATTAGCATGCTCAGGTGTATTTGATTAGGGTTAGAGCTAAACTCTGCAGGAAAGTGGATCTCGTGGGCCAGATTTGAGGATCCCTGCTGTAGACCTTATGTAGCTCCGCTCCTTTTCAGAGCTGTGCTTGTTGTCTTCAATTGAATTTCCACAGCTACCACTAGTTTAAAAATCTTCCCGGTCTACTGACATTTGTTATGACAAACACTTCAAAAGACGGCTGCAGGCTTGTTTCTCTGGAGCATTAGGTCTAAACTATTACCAAATATTGGTAACCTAATTTTTTGTGAATATTGCCAAAACGAACCATAAATGCTTTTTCACTCAAAAACGGAGGTGCATAGGCTCAGATCAGTGAGGGCTATGACCGGTCAGTTTCAAAAAGAAAAACAAAAGCTATGCTAACTGAAAGAAAACAAGTTGATAAAAAGATTGAATATAAGATGTAGTGATAATCTAGCATAATGCGAGATCTACAAGCAAAGGCTGGCTATATTTGACCAGGAACATTAGGATTTTCAGCACAGCACAAAACATCTAGAAAATGCTTTTTGATTCATGGGCATAATTATTTGATTTGATTGTTTAATCAGCCTATAAATGTGACTCATAAGACTCATAAACATGAGCCCATAGTACCTATAGCTACAGTATGATACTGAGTTCAGATAGGAGAAGAGAGGAGGAGAGTGAACCTGAGCAACCTTTACCATTATTCCACATGAGGGACAATTTACTGAGGCATTTCATATGTGTAAGGAGCATTAGAGCCATCTTTTATTTATTGCATCAGAAACACTGCAGGTATATAGAATCATTTGCTGAAAAAGCACTCATGGCTTTTCATCTCATCTCAGCGACCAGATCATCCATCAACCATACACTACAGTAGTACTTAAAACATCTCTTAATGCTCAGTAGGTCAGGATGAGTTTCTATATATGACATTGAGACAGGGGCATAGTGTCTGGGCATGCAGGGCATATAGGTCCAGGCTGATTGGGGGCCCGCTGAGGGGGACCTTTTAATTTAATTCTTCTTAATTTGTGGCCACAATATATTGTCTGCATGTCATATGCAGGTAATTGGTAATTGTTCATTTCTTGTGTGCATTTGTTACATTGCTGCCGTAGAACTTTTTTTTAAACTACGTGCAAACTAGTAGTTGCCATTGCCATGGCCAAATAAAATAATAAAATAATAATCAATAATTAATTTAAAACAACCTGTGTGAGGTTAGTAGCTATCTGGTTGAAAAGACTGTATCACAGCACATCTAGCTTCAGCAACACTTGCACCGTTTTAATTCTCTTTCTTTCATTTTAATTCTCTTTTGTTGAAATACTATCGAAAGTCATTCTTTCCATTAAGAATACACAAAGCCTTAAATTAAATACCAAGGACATTGTGGATGAATTTGCCAAAAGAAAGGCCCAGAGAGTTAAATTAAACACATTTATTGTTTGTATTTTGTGATAAAACTGACAGAATTTAAAGGATAATATTTGTGTTATATTGAAAGTAAAACGCTTATTACGATTATTTTGTTGCTGGCACGCTACAAATAATGAACAGACTTGAAAACGTTAAATATCATATCCAAACATTTATATGTCAATAAAACAGCTTGTTACAGTTTTTCTCGATTGCTAAAACACTATAACCAGGCTTTTGAACTAAAATTTCAAAACCATAACGCCATTTTTCAAAAAGCACACCCATTTTGCTGAACTATAAACACTATTCCAATGCTTTT